CCAGCTTGTTCCTCCCTGAGGCTCATGGCCTTGTACCCTCCGGGCAGGCAGCAACTCTGGGCCCCATCTGCCCCTCACTAGGCCCGGCTCTGGTTCTCGCAGAGGCAAGGCCCACCAACCAAGACTGGACACATGGCCCGGGCACAGCCCTGGGAGGCACGGCCTTCTCTAGGGGCTGCCGCTCCCCCTTGGAAGGGCGGCCGTGCTGCCTCCAGCAGACGTCAGGGGCGGGGCCCAGGGCCCACAAGGAGGACACAGGACCCGCAGCTGAACCCGCTCCCCCGCCTCACCCCCGCGTTTCAGCACGGCTGGGCCATGGAGACATGGCCCGCCCACCTACCTGTTCAGGTAGAAAGAGAAAATGTTCTTCTCCACCAGCTTCTGCTGCATCAGGTTATCGAAGACGGGCACCACGTTGTTGACTGAGATGCGGGGATAGGCCATGCCCAGGATGCCGTCGAACTTGGCCGCGATGAAGGTGATGCCCGGCTGCTTGGTGGCCTCCCCGAAGACCTGCCGTTCCACCTTGACGCCGCCCAGGGATGCCAGACCCGAATTGCAGGGCACCTGCAGGCCATAGGGGGTCAGTGGGCCACATGGAGTGAGCCGGTCCCTGGGCCCCAGGTGGGCCGTCCCCGCCAGCCCTGCGTGTGGGCGGCCACAGCTACAAAATCCAGCTGGGTCACTGCCCATCACCTGGCATGTGGGACTGAGGGCAGGGGGCTGGAATGAAGGGCTGGAAACACGAGGGCGGGGCGCGACAAGGGGGGCCCCCCACTCACAGGAGAGCTTTAACAGGGATTGGGGAGCACAGATGGAGGCCCTGCTCAGCTCTAGCCCCCACCCCTTCCCACCTGGGCAGTTCCTGCCCTCAGCCCAGCCCAGGGGACTGAGCCCCCACAACCCAACCCACTGGCAATCAAGGCCATGCTGCCCCACCCCTACCCCGGCTGAGGCTGCAGACAGAGCAGGATGTGGGGACACAGGCTGTGCGGGTGACAGTGGAGGAGGGAGCGTGTTGGGCCACATCCTGCTTTGGGCCTGGAGAGAAGCTGGGGGAGGGTGCCCAGCAGACTTGGGGTGGGGAGGAGGGTGGCCCGCGAGAAGCCGAAGCGCCAAGGGAAGGGCTGCGGGTCCTCATGGCCCAGGTGCCACCACCGCCGTGGGGCTGCCTGAGCCGCCTACAGCCGATGAGGGACAGACCAGCAGGAGGCTCGCTGCCTCCTTGTGCCTCAGGGGCCAGGGCTGGGGCTGGGAGGGACCATCTCCTCTTTGCTCCTCATCCCCCCCCAACTCCCGGGCCAGGCCTCGAGCCAGCTCCACACCCATAAACCGCCAACGGCCTGCTGACTCCTCTTGAGGGGGAGCATGCCCCCCCCCGGAGGTGGGGACAGGAAGCACCCCAGCCCTTCTGTACCCCGTGTCCTCTGTAGCGAGCCCTGTCAGCTGCCTCAGGGGCTCCCCACACCTCTGCCTCCCCAGCAGCGGGACCCCCAGGACCAGCCCCAAGCACCTGCGGGCACCTCACACCCAAGCATCAGAATGAGCCCAGTCCTCCCACAGGCCCACCTGCCCGCCCGCCTGCCGGGAGCCAGAGTGGAGGCCCCCCCTCCCCATTAACCACTCAGCGGGCCTTGGTCCCAAACCTGCACCTGTGCACCCGGCCTCAGCGCCGCCTCGGTGTTGAAACCCTCGCTCTGCCCCACTGGCCCTTCGAACCCCCCTGGCGGACCCCGGGGCCTGCACTGGGTCAGGCTGCTCCCGCCCCCACCCCACTCGCTGTCCTCTGCCAGCACAGCAGGCTCTCTCCCTCCCTCCAGGCCTGCGCTCAGC